TTATAACCAAAATATTCCGGCTGGAGGGTAAAGTCAACTGTAGCCCAAAAAGCAACTAAATCAGTGTTTTGTTTTTCTATGGAAACGCAATTATACTAGGTATTAACAATAAAGCCGATAATTTAGGGGGGGTGGCTGTCTCTAAAAGTTGGTATGCGAGGTCTCGAATGGTCAAGTGGTCCTTGCAATGCCCTCGGGGGCACAAACACCCAAACACAATGAATGCCCCACAACGGGGACCGTCGTCTACCTCTAGAATTTCCTTTTCTATTACCCTGGTGGGGGTTGAGAATGTTAACGGGGGGCTAAGAAAGGCAATTTTATAAAATGACAGATCTATGGACTAAGAAAAAGGGTTCTTTAGGATTTCCGTGGGGGGGGGACCAGATCTTTTTCGGCACATGCCCAAATCTTTTTATAAATAGCGGATGCGTTTCTAAATTGTTTTTGACTATTCCTAAGCATAAAAAACTACACAAATTTTGATGAAAATTTAATTTTAGGTAGAAAAGTCCTATAGAACCTTTAGGATTCGGGGGGGGGGGAGCCAAAATGACCAAATTTGCGACTTTTCAAATATTTTACTTTTTTTTAAGTTTTTCTATGTGAAAACACTTTATATTTGATTAGTCAACGGGGACCGCCGGTAAAAAATTTGAACCGGAACCGGAACCGGACCAGAACCGGAACCGGAACCCCCCCCGCGAATCCTCAAGAACCAGAAAAAGCTTCCAGTGGCTGTAATAACCGCAAATTATGATAATGTCAGCAATAGGAGCCTAAAATATGACCTATACTACAATTCTGTCAAAATCTAGACGGTTTTCGCATAGAAAAGATTAAATCTTGCCCAGCGGTGGTCTCCTCTGAAGGTCCTTCGCCCCTCCTTCTTTTTTTATGACCGTCCTTTGCCCCCAGCCCTTCCTTCAGGAAAAACCGAATCCCGCCGGTGTACCATAAATTTCGGGAAGCCCTTGATTGGGTGGATTTCCCGCCCAGGGTCATCCTCCAACCAATTTGTTTGCTTCAATTTAATGGCTAATCAAAGGGAGCGTGCCGGCAGCTCTTTTTTGCCTTCGAAAAATTGCATTTAGAGTAGAAGAATTAGGAAAATGAGCCGTAATTGTGAATAAACCATTGCTTCGTGGAAAGGCTTAAAAGCCAACCGAAATTGAGCAGTTAGATGAATAAAAACGCTTATATTTTAAACAAAATTAATTTACAAACCCCGACAATTCACGCGGAATCCCGTATTCGCATAAAATTTCGGCGTCGTCATTTCGGGGGATCGCCCTCAGCCCCAGGATATCTTCCGCCTCGCGGGATTTTGTCTGAAAAATGGTTGATTAGGTAGAAGAGTCTGGTCCCGCCCTAGCGTGGTTTCCTGACGAATAGCCAGATATTGGGGCGCCAAAAGACGTCAATTTGAAAATCCTGGTGTCAAGTCCGGAATTTTAATCGTTTTAGCTTTTTCGCTTTTAATAATTGGCGTTGCAATCACCAAAATCGATGAATTCACCGCCTTAGAAGCGATTACGCTATATAATGCCCCAAAAGCAGCATTCTCGAACACTCAAATTGTGAATTCTTAGCTCCTTTAACGCTTGGTGTTGCCTACCTTCTTGAGCTGACCAAAGCTTCCGGGTCTACCGCGCGCATCCGGTGGGTGAAAATATATATTCGGGTATGGGGCGGGTAGGGGAGGGCCGACGACTATCTGCAATAGAACCAGCTTTCAAAGGCAAAATATCCGAAACTTTGCTTCATAGCCAGTTACGTATAGAGTGCAGTTTACCCTCTCCCCCCAGCTAGCCGGCACCCAACTTTTGTATCTCGGCTCCCTGTTGGTCTACGGGTGCGTAAAGTATACCAAAATGTTTGTCTTGCTCTGGCGAGTATTTTGGTATGCTTCACACACCTGTAGGATCACGGGGAGACGAGATACGGTAGGTGGGGGTCGGCTGGAGGCGGGGGGAACTGCCTAATCATGCCAGAAAAGTCTGTCCTACTCGATTTGTGGAAGGGACAAGGTAGACGGGTCGTATCGTCGGCATTTCAGAAATCGTCGGCAGTCATTCGTGGCTGAGGTTAGTGGCTGAATTTAGAGAAGGTGTGGCTGGATACCGGGGGAGGCGAGTACGAGCCGAGGAAGCGGAACCGGGGGCACGGAAAGAACGAGGAAAAAAAGATAATGATGCCATCCAATGGTGTATAGTTTGAGGAATGGGGGCAGGGGACACAACGGAATACACACAAACAGACGGACAAACAGTCAGACAGACAGACAAATACTAGATTCTATGCGATACCGTTACTCCATAGATGATGAAAAAATGGGGCTTTCGCATTATCAGGGGGGTCATCAGACGGAGTCGAATTTTTTGCAAAGCACAGCAGTGTAGTAATAGTGTATTGGTGTAATATTTATGTCGATATTGAAGTGGAAAAGCTACCGAAAAAAGGCAAAAATGTCTAAAAATTCAAAATTTTGCTTGAAAAATTATAGTTGAATTTTTAATAAAAATCTGTAACGTTTTCGCGTTTAGTAATAGCAAAAAGCAGCCTAGAAACACTTCCTCGATTTATACCAGAAAAATTGGATCCTAAAAAAACAAGTTTGGTTTCGGTTTTCCCTATTTCAATTTCTTACTGAAAATTTCATACTTTAGAATTTTATACCTATTTCGATCGATATTCGAATCGAAAAAATAATGGCAGCTTTCAAAACAATTTTTATTGAGAAACTGACATCAGCTAAAAAAGCCCGACAAATATCCGAATTCAACGAGCGTGCCGCCCAGAATCTCAAAGCAAATTCCGTGTGTGATGCGGGGCGGACAAACAGGCTCATATAACGGTCGGAGCGTTGTGGCCGGATCGATGTGAGGGATCCCGGGGCACCAATCTCTCTCATCGGCTTCGACCTGTCATTATTAGCAAATATCCGGGAGTCGAGGTGGCCGCGTGGGCCACCGTTGAATCGCACAGCACGCTACGGGTTACGCCATAATGGTCAGCAGACTGAAGGTACAGTCAGGTAAATTGAAAAGATCATCAGCTACTCGCAAGAATTGTATAAAATAAAATAGTTATCCCGGGCTCGAGGTTCCCTGAAAACAAGCCGCCCCGAGACGAGCACTTAGCAATGGACAGGTGGCGACTGCAAAACCATTGGCTCGGGATGGGGTGCTCAACCTTTAGGCGATCCATCGATGGACAATGGGGAAACATCTCCTTCTAATACACAGAATGTACCTCACTTCAAATAGACAAGAACTCAAAAATATGATATTTGGAGGGGTATTGTGGGGCGGATGAGGCGTTTAAAACGCGCAAAAGCTAGCTAAAATACTTTCTGAAAAGCCGCGACGCCGCGACTCTACGCTGCGCTAATGAATTCAAATAATTCCAAGTTCCCAACGCGCTCAAGCACCCCCCGGAAAAAATGGCGGAACAAAAGCGAAATTTATGTGCCGGAGCTATCGGGCAGATCGGTGAATGGCGGTGATGAATAGAGGGACCCTCGTGTGTCCATTCATCAGCCAATCGAGCCTCTAAGGACCCTTGAGAAAGGTTGATCACCCGCTAAAGAATGACCAATTTGGCGAAGAATCCAGAATTTGGAAGTTTTGGGTTGGTGTGCTCTAGGAAGCTGTGAAGATTCAAAAAAGAGAAGCAACCTCGGCGTTTTCTCCGTACTACTTACTGTAAGCAAAAATCTGTGATACAAAAATGTAAAAAATCGGCGATTTTGCAAATGTGGCCCACGCCAACTCTAACAAAAACACCTTTAGTTTAGTTTCTCCGCTAGAGTTTTGCGCGCTCTACCCTAAAAACTTTATCCCAGTACGTAAAAAAAACAAACATTTTTTTTCAGAATAAACCGTAAAAATAGTGAACATCTCGAAAACCAGCATTTTTACCCCATTTTCCAAGGTTATTTTGGCTTTTGTTATAGCTTTTTTGTATTACTCTATTTTGAGCTGTAAATCGAACACCTGGTAGATTTTGTCAAGCTCTATTGAATCACGTTGAGAAAACCCCAGATAATACCGAAAATCTCGAAAATTTGGAGAACCTCGGCGTCGGTTAAAGTAACCCAGCCTCGGAAATAAATCAGCTGAAAAAGAAGGAAGCAGGACGGCCGGCCTACTTGGCCAAAAAGCACAACAAATGAGGAGTTATGCGGGAAGAGAAGGGCCATTGTCGGGTGATTCTTGTATGTAGAAGAAGCGTTCGTCTCGGGGCACGCGTCATTTGAGGGCCCGGTCCTCAAGACACGCACCTCGTAAAGGCAACGTCCATCAGACCGACACAAAGGGGAACACGTTTCGTTGCAACAAGTGGCCGATGGTTCATACGCAGACTCTTTTAAAAAACAGCCATCGAAAAGGGTTCTGGTGCATTAGCGGGGGAGCTTGGTAAGCCAAAATTAAAACCTTATCAAAGCTTACCATTTTAGGGGTTTTCTTAAATTACGGTGTTTTCAGCTAAAATTAAATCGTAGTAAATTGTCGTTGCCGTATCGGACTGCGTTGAAATAGTTCCGCGAAAATGTTAGAATAAACCCCCTCCCCCCGCTAATGAAACAAAACGACAACCTACGATTCCAGTCTTTTCACGACAACCTACGCGCAGGAAATCCGAAGATAACAGCCAGATAAAATCAAGCGAAGCACTTCTAACAGCAAATTGCGTGAAATTAAGTGCCGATGGGGGACAGTTGGCCCCCGACGTTGCTCCACAATAAATGGCTCAGGCCCCGAAGAAATGTAACAGGCGCCAAAATGATGGATAACCCCCACGAGGCGGTAAATCATGAAGGTAGCTTTTGCTGAAAATGCGGAAATTTCAAACTCTTTATTACCGGGGAAAAAGCATACTCATCGCAAAAAGGGTACCCGTAGTCCAAACGAAAAAAACACACATGGCGGCGGCCAAAAAAAGCCTAGGGTTTCGAGTAAAAGTAGTCACAAAAATACTGTGTTTCTAAGCGGCTATTCCAGATCAAAATCGTGTGTGAGCTTTCCGTTCATAAGGTTGTGGGCCGAGCGATACTTGAGCAGGGCCGAGTTGAGATGGTTGAAGGAAAGTGGGCCCTAAAAAAGGTTTGGAACCTAAAGACAGTGTATACCTGATCGCACAGCCCCTGCCCGGCCGAGAGGGTTTCTTTTGCGCGATTCAAAACCGCCAATCGACAGACCTACAAAATTCATGAATCTTCCAAAGTTAAAGAATTGCCTCTTTCAAATCGGAGCCGGATAAAGTCTCGGCCGCCTCCGCCACCACACTCAAGTCCAATCCCTCATCGATGCTTTCGTTTCTTAAGACAACCTAAAAATCGAATTGTTGTTTGACTGAAAATGTCGCACCTCCAAAATGCCTTTCCTTTGATTCGAGCTCGGCAACGGGACGTAAAATCTGAGAAAATTTGTGGCCACATAAAAAACACTTACTTTGCACTCATCCGCCTCAAAATAGCTGCATCAACATCGGTGGGTCGATTCGTGGCACCCATAACGATAACCTAAACATTTTTACATAAACGCAACAATGGCCCATACCTGCGCCGTCGTCGTAGCAAAACCATCCCATAGCTGCATAAACTGCGCTTTCATCATCGCCGTTGCCTCGTGATCATGTGAAGCGCGAGCGCGGAGAAACGAGTCTAAAAGAAGTTAGTCAACGTCTAAACCATATTACCGATTTCATCGATGAAAATAATGCAGGGCTGGAACTTGAGCGCAACGGAGAACACAGCGGCCGCCAATTTTTGCGATTCGCCATACCATTTGTCCGTCAGATCGGAAACTTGCAAGTTGATAAAACTAAATGGAATTAAACCAAGGTCCCGAAATGCACCGGCATCCAGATGATTTTGCGACGGCCTTCGCTAGCAATGTCTTTCCGCATCCCGGTGGGCCGTACAGCAACACACCTGAGATAGCACAAGTTATATAAAGAAACTTTCCGGAAAGAACCTTTCGGGGGCGTGAGCAGCTTGCTTTTCGACTCAACGGCGATCTTCAACGGGAGAATGACGCGATCTTGCAGCTCGCCAATTAAATCTTCATAACTAAACACAATGAATTTTACATGCAGCACCAACCCTCCAATCTCATCCCAATCCGCACCATCTTCCGCCAGCACAAACTGGGTCGCTATCCTCAATTCGTGCTCGTTCAACTCCACGCCTTGCGTCATGCCAAGCTGCGCGAACAATTTGTCAACCTTCTTCTTGTTCTCTTCTTTCGATTCGCGTGCAGGGTCCAGATAGCGGACCATGTAACGCACGGTCAACCACGACAACAATCCCGCCGCCGCGAAACGGATCGCCACGCCAATCAGCTCTTCACGGTTTCCCATCTGACAATTGAAAAAAATAATTGAAGCACTCTGTGACGAATATGATTGGTTTCAAACTAATCTCCGGATGTGTTTGTACAATTAGGCTGTGATAAGTTTTATTGGTTGGGTACAAAGATGTTAACAAACTTTATTCATATAACAAAATCAACAAAATGGCTTATTTTCGTACAGACACCTGCCAGACACGGATAACGTTATCCGTGTAACCAGCGAAGAGCGTTTGTCCATCTTGCGACCAGGCGAGCGAAATGCATTGCGGGGCGGCGGATCCGCGGTTTGAGGCAACTTCGGGCTTCAGCTCCTCGATGGCGCGCTTGTCCTCCAGATCCCAGATCTTGACAACGGGTCCGACGGCCGCGCAGAGCCAGTAACGGTTGGGCGAGAAGGCGAGAGCGTTGATAACACCGTTTCCGTTGAGGGTGTAGAGGTGCTTGCCCTCATTGAGATCCCAGAGCATGGCTTGGCCGTCCTTGCCTCCGGACGCGCACAGAGATCCATCGGGGGAGACGGTGACAGTGTTGATGTAGCCGGTGTGTCCCTTGTGGTTGGTCTTCAGGCGGCAGTTTCCGAGGTTCCAGACCTTCACGACCTTGTCCCATCCGGCCGACACGATGACAGGCTCGCGGACATTGGGGGAGAAACGCACGTTGGAGACCCAGTCAGTGTGGCAATCCTCCTAAAATGAAAGTTCTGAGTAGCGAACGAAACAAAATATTGGTTTCAGATCCGAAGGATGTCAAAAAAAGAGCAAAAAATTCTACGTAACACCTAACCGCAAATAAACATACCGTGATAGTGTATTTGCATTGGGCGAGGGTGTTCCACAGCTTGATCGTGCGATCGCGGGATCCAGAGACGATCTGTCGGTTGTCGGCGGAGAAAGCGACGGACAGAACATCGTTGGTGTGAGAGGCGAATCGTCGAGTAGATTGGCCGCTAAAAAGCACAATGACTAGGGGATGGAAATGTCGATAATGATAAAGCACTTAAATTCGGACAAACTGCGCACCACGCCACCCAAATTCGATAAAAGCTTACGTGGCAAGATCCCAAAGCCGCAAGCTCTTGTCCCACGAGCCGGAGAGCGCGAATTGACCATCGGAAGAAATGACAACATCCGAGACAAAGTGTCCGTGGCCGTGCAGGGACTTCATCGGGCGCCCAACTTGGCCGGTCTCGTTTAGGGAAGAGTTGTCGACATCCCACACAATAATCGTTTTATCTAAAAGCAAATTACAAAGCAAATTCTAGTGACGAACCTCGCGACGAGGAAATAACAGTCGTCCTGTCACCACGGTTGGTGGTGGCGATTTGGGTGACCCATCCGTTGTGTCCCTCCAGGGTACCCTGCAGCTTCATCTGCTCGTTGGCCATGTTTGGGATGTGGTCCTGGAAAAGAATCGATGAAAAGGAAGAGAAAAAAAGGGGAAAGGGAAAACGACGATCGCAAGCGCTATATATGATATCGCAGGCACATGATAGGGCAGACAGGAAACGGTGAATGCGAAATTTCAAAATGGTATAAATTTAGTTTAAAAAACGTCAAGAATAAGAATAAAGATAGATTCAACGTTGCGAGAGAGCCGAGAAGTTCGACTCTAGTAAATCCAGGGACTGGCCAAATCCTACGGTATTTTACTAGAAAAAGGGTCCCGCGGGGGAGCGGGCGTTTGAGCCCAGCGCAACACCTTTCAGCACGGTGTTTGTATTGGCGCGTTGCCGGCCGGCTGAAAATCGCGCCGTAATGCAAAGCGGGGTTGAAGAAAAGTTTAAAAAACCTAGTTTTTTACACTGAATCCTTTAAAATTATTCAAAATTCATTCTGACCCCTCCAGAAAAACAACTTTCGATCGCCTTTTAAGCGTTTATCCTGTTTTCGTTTTGTTTACCGCCATAAAAATAATCGGTGAGACCATTCGAAGCCGCTATTTAAATCTGCTCTCTTTAGTTACACGGCCGCTTAGGAAAAACCTTTTTGGAAATAAACTGCCCTTATTAAATTTTTTATCGATGAGTTTAAGCACCATATTCGTTAGTGTAGCAGCTGAAAGCGTCACTAGAGGAACGATTTTCCCGCTTCACGATGTTTCCATTTTTTGCACAAAATTCTGTCTGATAATTCGGTTTCGGGCAGATGTTTCTCTGATGGTCCCTGGGGAGTATTTTTGATCAAATTCCATCACTGGGTGATCTTGATAAAGAAATCGCTCTGCCGACGACTTTAGCTAGAATTCAGCCACTACCGCTTTTTAACTCCCAACCAAAACTAAAAGTCAACCAATTCCGAAACACTTTCTAGCCCTGCGTTGGCCAACCAATTTGCGCAAGTCGATTAGCCGCCATTTGTAAGTCTCTGCCGTCAGACGGCGATGGGTAATGAGGTGAAGTGGGCCGCCTCGGGCCCTCCGTTGTCCTCAATAGCGGCTTGATGGGGGTGTCGGCGGGGCCGTGAAGTGGCGAGGATCGGGGGTGGAGGGAGGGCTTTGGACCGCCGGCGTCCTTACCCTCGGCGTTTGTTCAGTGTGCAGAGGGGGGATGGAATGGTTGGGGGGCGCGCGAGAAGGTCTGCTGGCCGACTGCCCGAATGCAGCATCGATTGATTGCCTCCTTCAATCCCTTATTCGCTAGTCGCGTCGCCTTTTCACACCTCGGGCGGCTCGGATACACTTGCATAAAGAGCTCCCCCCTTGATCCCACTATCCCATAGAGCGGCGCTGGAACGCGTGGAAGTCGCCACCATACTCATCCTCGCGCTATAAGCTTCACTTTTAATCGCTAGCCGGTTCAACATCTGTTGCTTGACGTTTTTTAGTCTCCTTTTTGCCTCTTCCAGCCCTCCAGCCCCAATCGGTGCGTCACTATTATTGGTTTCCAATTTCCCTTTCGACAAATGTTTGCTCTCTGAATTTATGTGACTGAGAAAGCCCGTTTTGATAACGCACCCATACTCGCTTTTTTCTTGCTCGATGGCTGCTTTTTCACGGCGTAATTTATTCTTTTACAGGGGACAGTATTTTGGGCGTCTATGGATTTGATAAATCCAATAAATGACGCCCGATTCTACGAGTCACTCATCAAAGATCCGCGGCGAAGGACCGATGAGGTGAGCAAGAAGTTGCAAAGTAAAACAGCCGCCAGGATGTCCGGAATATCTTCGAAAAGCTGCGGGGGCTCGACATGTTCGCCCACCTTTTCACGGGGCCGCTGACGGCGATTTGTCGAAGTGCTCGATACGAACGACACCCGGCACATCATATTCTGTTCAGGTTTGCAAATAGTTAAACGAGTAAATAATCAAAATAGGATACGATATAATAACCTTTTAGGAAGGAGCAGAAGGCGACGTGCTGGTACATTCTACTCTCCGGTTCCGTCCTCATCGAAAGCCATATTTTGCTGCCTTATGGCTGGTGAGTCAGCAGCGTTTTGGCTGATTGGAATTATCAATTTCCGCTTTGCTAGACGTAGGGCCTTTCCGTGACCATGAATTTTTGAGAGCTTTCGAATGGTGTAAAAATCATCGCTATCCCCTGTATTTCATCTACTGCCAACCCTTTCTTGCTGTCCTTATCCCTTCAAAAATATCCCTAACCGGGTGCACGTGCATTCCATTTTTTGCCATTCACCGTTTTCACTCTCCCAGGATTCGTGTCAGTCCCATTGTCCCGCGTACCGTTTGATTGCCCCTCTCTGATCCCGTATCACATTTCGATTTGGACTGAAAGCCAGCCGCTGGGTTGACGCGCGGGGTCTAATTCCAGGCGCTTTTCTGGTGGCTGCGCGGAAACTGGCTGTGTGGGTCGGGTGTGGTGCCCTACTTTGGGCATCGCCGTGGGGCCGAGAGTCGCCGTCTTGGTGATCAGTTCCGTCACCTTCTGGGTTTCCCATTCAACGGCTTGTGCTCTCTAAAGGGATGGCTCAGCGGTTGCCCCCGGTGCCGCGTATTCCGGTGCCCGAGATTCCGGATCAGGAATCATCGGAAGGGCGATTTGCGAGCTTCGGCGCTGCCGACCGCAATTTGACAGCGATCGGTCGGTGCTCTATTGTTACCGAAGAGGCGGAAGAGGAATATTCTGTTGCTTCGTTTGTGCAGGTTAGTAAAAGTAGTGCAGATGGGAATTCCTAGGTCAAAACAATCCTTTTAATGGCTGAAAAAAACGAAGAATTTTCGCATATTACGATGGCAATTATTGGGCAGGCGACTGGACTGTTAGCGGGGGGGGGGGCAAATTTGCCGGGTAATCTTATACGGCCTTATAACGAAATAATACCCGTCTTTAATAGTATTGTGCATAGTTTTTAGATATAAAAAGTTTTTGGAAAATATGTATTTTGGAAAAATTTTAACTTTTTGGCCAAAAATGTATCAAAACTTGCAAAAAAATTGCAAATTTTCAAGATTAAAAAATATTTCGTAGCTTTTAGCCTTCAAAAACCGCTAAAACTATATATTATCAAAAGCGAAAAAGGAAAAATTAGTTCCCGCTTGCTAAAAATCCTCGCCCCCCCACTAACAGTCCAGAACCTAGACGGTTTGATCGTTAATATTTTGCATGATTGTACGGATGGCTTCTAGACACACAAAATCCCGCCACCCCCAACTCGACCCTTGCCACTTCCGCCAGCCCCCACTCTACCTCCACCTCCACCACTCGGCCTGGCCAAAGCCTCCGACGCTGCCAGAGATGCATTCCTCAGAGGGGAACGTCGCTTCTATGCCCCGCTATCCGATATTTCAGAAGGGGCCGAGGATCTGGATGCGAACAACAACGACGCCGATTTCTTCTCGTTTGTTGAGGACAAACGGTGCCCCGATCCGATGTCGGATACGGATACGGATAAAACGGCAAAAGACGACGAAGACGTCCAGCTAATTGAAGAGCTGCGGCCGGCTTGGGCGGTCAAACGCGGGAAAATGATGCTTAACAACAGCAAGACGTTTCGAGAGACCGTAGCATCGGCCAAGCTTCCGGTGGAGGCGCTGGTCACCAAATCCGCCCTCCAGCTTCAGGACCCAAGTCCCGTGCCGGAGGGCCGATCTGAGAGACTGGAGCTCGAAGCCAAAATCGAAACACCTGAGCCAGAGCTTCAAATCCTCGAAACCCAGATATTCAGCTGTCCACAGGCCCTTGCTCCGGTCGATTTTGAAGATTTCGGCCCTCAAAGCATCTACGTGCCCTACTTTGGGCCCCAAGAGCACTATGGGAAGCTGGGGTCGGTGGTTTTGGACTCGTTTGAAGCCGAGCTCATTCGACTGCAAGCCGAGCTGTCGTTTGCTGCTCGCCCATTGCCGCCGTCACCGAAGCCCGTTCCGAAAGGCGCAGCTGACCGCATCATTATTTCTATTCATCCGTCAATTTCTCCGGAAAAGGCGATCGCTTCACGAAAAGCCTCCAGCCTGCCCGATGAGAAGAGCAAGTAAGCGGGGAAAATAGTTTCTGCCCAAAAATTAGGAAAGAATTCCAGAGTTTCTCTTTTAAATCTTTTGTATTCAAGCTAAGAAACTGAAATCTGCTTTCCGCATTTTCCGACAGCCCCGTCTACGGTAGTTTTTTTTTTGTTTCTCGGCAAAAACGATGCAAAATAGGGTGGCGGGCTCTGATCGGCGTTTTCGCCCAGAAAGTGAGAGAGCGGGGGTGGACTGAAAATCGGGAGGTTGATCCAATTCTGCGCCACCGCGGCCCGCTCCTTGACCGCTGACAGACCGGGTTTGTAAAAAGTCGTAACCGTAGATGATGAGTCGTTTGTGCTTTCAAAAAAGGTGTTTAAAGGGGCCAAGAAGTCAAAATCGTGCGCTCGGAGAAACGAGTAAAAAATTAACGGGTGCTCTCTACGAGTTTCAGCGCTTTTATGGGGAAAAACGGGCAATATTTGAGAGGAAAACAGACAGTGTTTTGCACATTAAACCGAGTTTTTCGGCGTGCGGGCTTTACATGTCGTAATGCCCTGTAAAACACTTAGTTCAGCGATCTCGGGGGTTCTCGGGTCTAGTTTTTTAAATTAAGAAATCAACGCTGAAGGTTGTGAACCAGACTTCTTTGCCCCTTTAAGCGGTGGAAAAAGAAAAGTTAGGAAGTTATTTGTTGAGAATCGATGAGGAGCTGGGGGAGAGTTTCCTAGGGATTGCTAGCACCACTCATTCCGGGCACCCGTTTTGCGGTAGCACCTCGTAGTCGTTTAGTCATGGTTGTACAAGGGTATTGAAGCGATCGGAAGGGGGCCCTTCTCCGAGCCTTGACTCATTGTGTCCTCACCCTTTCCCTCTTTCTATAAACACGCTCTCTCTCTCTCTCTCTCTCTCTACCTATTCGGCGGCGCCTCAGCCGGAACAATCGCCCCCGGCGCGCCCGCCTCGCCTTTACGACCCCTCGCTTGTCCGTCCGCTTCAGGTTGTCCGCTACGACGCCTCTTTTTTGGGCATCTCCCTCCCTCTGCCTTTTTCTCGCACAGCTGGGCACAATCACTGCTGATGCTTGCAAAAATCGTCGAGCTGCTTGTGTCTTTTCCCCCTCTTGAAGCTATCACTATCACCAAGCGATCGATCAGGCCACACTGCCCCCTTTCCTCTTTTTTCCGGCTTTCCCCCGGACATTTTGTTGACGTTGTGGCCATTTTGATGGATTGATCGGGTGCAAATTAGCAGTTCCGGAAATGGTTTCGCAGCTTGGCTTTCCGGGCCTTGCAATTTTTATTTGGTACTGGACTGTTAACGGGGGGGGGGATAATTTTTCCAGTAATCCTGTACAACCGGCAGCAAAATATAAACAAATTTTATAGCATTTTACACGGGTTTTTTCTATAAAAAACTCGTCAAGACTATGCAAATTTCGAAAAGGTTGGCTGTTTGGCCGAAAATCTATGAAAATCACCAAAAAGGTCCAAATTTCGAGTTTTCAAAAAATATTTATTTTTTTTGGAACTTGCTAGCCAACAAAAGCTGCTAAAAACACTATATAAAATACACTATTGATTATTAGCAGCTGGGTATAGGCCGAAAATCATAAATTTCCCGCCTGCTAAAATCCCCCGGCTAACAGTCCAGTACCTTTTTTCAAATATATTACGCAAACTGGATTAAATAGGCTTCACCGCAAGCCAACATTCTCTAATTGACTGTAGCTATGACGAACCCTGACATATACGTTTTCTGCGAGTTTTGCCCGCGAGTTTTGCCATTCCTTTGTTCCGTTGAGCTCCCCTTTCGCGTACAGGTCGTCGTGCCCTCTCCCTTTAATCCGCTAATCCGTGCCCCTGGAGGCGGTTGGTTCGCTGGAAAGTTTCGTATTCGCTTACCCCCATCCGAAAATGCCTGGGGTTAGAGTTGTGTGGCCAGTTTTCACAGGGCTACCCCTCGCCAGTTCCATGTGTGGTTGTGCGGGGGGGGGGGGAGATTCGTGTGGTTGATAGCCCCGATTTAAATTCCGGTTCCGGTCTCCTCCCTCCTCACTCGAGCACCACGGGGCTTTTGACTCGGAAAGCGGTGGTTTAAAACGGTCGGCTAACCGTTGGACTATTTATTAAATTCATTTGTTGTCTCCATTTTTACCGAAAAATTTTAATTCAAATCCCGAAAATTTCCAGGGGCGATATCATTTTTTTTCTGGCCTGGGGGATCCAGCAGTTCTAACCTGGTTTTCGGCTACACTTTACTTTACCCCCTCCCGCCAGCCGGAATGTTTTGGCTATAACTTTTTGTTTTACATTATTGTAGGCTAAAATTAAAATTCTTTGTATATTTTTCGACGCTCTATCGAACGACGTTGCAAAAATCCGGCAAAATAAGCGAAAATACCGAAAACCTAAAAGTAAAGTAAAGTCTTACCTGGTTTTCTATCTATACATCCCAAAAATTTCGGCAAACCTATATTTCGCCGACGACCTTCGAATATACCACAAATAGAAAAATAGTTTTATTAATTTATTTCCAAAATTACAAAAATGCATTATGAACGTTTTCAAATTGAAAATTTCCTCCTCCCTAACTGCAATTCTCTTTCGATTTTTCCGCCGCTATTTGGAAATTTGGTCACGGAAAGGGTCTGGTGATTCCAAAATACCATACTTGTCGGAATTTTTCGTGACTATGCATAAAACCATTTTTTAGTTTCGGCAAGCGGAATGGCCTGAGCTGTCGACGGGCCACCGATTGTATCTGCCTGCAGACCAGCGAGATGATTGTGGTGAGTTGGCGGGTGTGCTCCGGAATTTGGGATGGTTTAACGTAGAAGTATTTCGGAAATATAATTCTTAAATGGTAGAGAAAAGTCCGGGCTAATCCGCGGGGGCCGTCCATTTCCCGTCACCCATTGCCTAATGCCAAGTGACCTCTTCATTATCTGAACAGACAATCGCTGCGGGTAGATATCGCGCATTAGGCCTCCTGACGGGCAGCCAGCTCGCACTTCAGCTGTTTTTATATTGTCACTCAAAGATTTTCTGCTCTCTTTCTCTCTCTCTCTCTCTCTCTCTCTCTCTCTCTCTCTCTCTCTCTAAACTCTTTGGGGCTTTTTTTCTGAAATTTTGCTTACGAGTTTCCAGGCGGAACCACCGCTTATCTTGTGCAGAATTTTGCGCTGATTCCGAACCTATTTTCAAACTCTGTAACGACCAAGATAACAAAGCTATGAAGCTTTTAAGCGCGAAAAACCCCAAACCGAAAGTTTATGTCGTTTTGTTGTACGAAAAACCTTCATAAATTCTTGATACTGTTCGTTTCGCAGGCTTTGAAACCAGATTCGAAATCAGCGCAAAATTCTGCCCAAGATAGGCTTGGGCTGGCCCAGTGCCGGAAACGCGCTTGTCACTAAAAGCCACTCCTTTTAAGCGCCAATTCAATTCAATTCAATTCAATCCACCAATTCCAGATCGACTACCCGGACGTGGCACAACAAAACGCGGCCCCTCCCCCTCCTTCCGGGGTTTCGCGACCCATCGTCCAGGCTGAGCATCGTCGAAGAATGGCCCCTCCACCTCCGGCTCCTCAATCCGAAGCGTCGGCCCCTCCCCCAGCACCTCCACCCCGTCCTCCTCGACAGCCAGCGCCGCCGAGGCCGAGTCGCGGATTGCCACGGTACGTCTTGTCTATTCGATCGTTTCCGCATTTTTTGCGTCGTCGTTGCATATTTCTGAATTTTCATACGGTCAAATTGCGATCGTGGTGTCACTGACTTTACAAATTTATAGTGGGATTTTGATGCATTTTGTAAATTTGAGCGGCAAGGTGGATTTGGTGGAGGAATTCGCTTTTTCCACTATACCTATATAAAGTACTATATAATGTATTTTATAGTGTTTTTTAGTAGCTTTTGGTTGCAGGAAAGTTAAAAATGGATTTTTAAACGTTTTGAAAATTTGCAAAAATTCGTACTTTTTTAGTAATTTTTTAGCCGTTTTTGACTAAAAGCCCAAAAATTCCTGAAAATTTTTATAATTATTCTACGACTTTTTTATCTCTAGAACAACTGTAGAAAATTCCATAAAAAATCCTTGATACTTCGTTCCATACTTCGGAATGACTTGGAAAAATTGGGTTTCCGGTCTGCTAACCCCTCCCCCCGCTAAAAGTCCAGTACCAAGCTCACTCCCAAATTCCCCACATCCTGACCACGATCCCTCGTTCCCTGATCAAGCCGGTCGGGTCGGAATCGGTAGCGCGCGCGGAATCCACGGAGCCCCCGCCCCGCGGAGCGCTCTGTTTGTTGGTGTGTCCCGTAGCCGCAGGGGGAAACGAACGAATGAAAAAGACGAAGCGAGAACGGTAAATAGAAGCATCTCGTTTGATTCTTCTTCTTCTTTCATGGTGACCGCTTCCCCCCATGCGTAGAAGCAGCTTCTTCTTCTTGTTGTATATCTGTGGACGCGACACCCCTCCTCGAGGGTGCGCGTCTTTGTGGAGTGTCGCGGAATCCGGGGTGACCCCCCGGGGGACATCTGCCCCATCCAGCGCTGAAAAGCTAAAAAGTGCGCGGGGCCCCGTCAAAACACGTGCTTTGCCTTTCGACGGAAACGCTTCGAAAGAATGCCGGCGGGTTTTGGGGGTTCTAAATATTTCGTAGGAATTTCCTAATATATCCTTTTTTGTTTATATCTTCCCAATGCTGGGCCTTTGGCGATATGCATTTTCGATTAGAGCTTCTCGGCATCCGCCATTGCAGAATCGGTACTGAACTCTTAGCGGGGGGACCAAATCTTTCCAACTAACCCCGTGCGGCCCTATAATGAAATCTAAATCATTTTTCTAGTATTTTATCCAGTGTTTAGATATAAAAAAAATTCAGATAAATCTACAAACAGTTTCGAAAAATTTTGAATGTCAAAAACTATGAAAAATGGCCAAAAACTCAAAATTTCGATAAATATTTTTTTATAACGTTTTGGCAATCAAACCCACTAAAACTACACAAAAAATAACTTGTCGTTCCAGGACCTACCCGATGGATTTCCCGATGGATGTGCCGACAACGTCAAAGACGCAGGTATGTATTTTGAACAACTTTAATAGCATTCTCGAAACAACCTCTAATGCTTGTATTATCGTCTTTTGTTGCTATATTATTGATAGGATGGCGGTTGCCATTCATCTGGGTCGACCCACTTCCCCTTCACCACCCCTCGCCGGGGTATGCCATCCGATCCAGTCTTTTTCCTCTGTATAATGGCCTTCCTTTCCCCTTTTCCCTGTTCTCTACGCGCTGGGTTGACACTTCACTTTCTCCAATCGCGCAATATATTGGCTTCCGGTCAATTTTAGCAGCTAGTTAGTAGAATTTTTGGCTACACTTTACTTTACCCCCCGCCGAAAGTTTTTGGCTATAACTTTTTATTTTACATTTTTGTAGGCTCAAGTTAAAATTCTTAGTATATTTTTCGACGCTCTATCGAATTGCCTTGCAAAAATCCCGACAAAATAAGCAAAAATACCGAAAACTTTGAGACCCTTTGTCTGTGGGGGGGGGGGAAAAATTTTTTTTGGTGCCCTTCCTCTTAGGCGCGGCCACTTTCTTTCTTTATAAATTGAGTGATGGGTGATGCCAGTGCTTTTAGTAAATCTTTGCTATATTTAAAAATTTAAATTTTTTACTAAGCCAGAAATTTTTTAAAAAGCTAGGGGGGAAATAATCGCGAACTGTTTTTGTATATTTTTGACTTTTATGAATAGTAAAAAACGGTTCTTTCTTGTAATTTCCAATAAAGATTGTAAAATTTCTACGTTTAGCAATCGAAAAACAGTGTAAAAGCGCTTACACGCTTTTGTCCGAAAACGTTTGCCATTTTTGAGGAGCAAAAGCGGGTAGCCGTCATTTGAGAGCTTCTGCTAGAGGCTCTTTGGTCATTTCTATTGCGGGTTCGGACAAGTGAAGCTGGACCCCCGAGAGCAGCCCATCGACGACTCGTTAATGGGCCGGGGACACGATTTATTGAGGGGCGCTGACTGCCTTCTGGCCACAACGGGTTTTTGGTTGGCCCCGGCCGACTTACTGACCCCCCGGGGGGCTCTCATAGCGCCCCCTGCTTTACTATGCCATAAAATATGAGGGCCCCGGGAGAGCGCACAGATTTTGAGGGATCAGTTTCCCCTAGAAAACTTTCAATTGTGGAACCCTTGAAAAAAATCAAAATATTGTCAGGTTTTCGTAAACGGTGCCGGAGACGACGACACGCTGGTCCGTGTCAAGCACCGACGTCAGAAGAGCGGCTCGATGGGAAGTGTGGGCAGTTCGGGCGGCGGAAGGGCACAGCGGATACGCAGGTATTGTTCACCGACGGCTGCTCTTCTATATGATACGATACTATCTACTATCACGTGATGTCTGAGTTTTCCTGGCGGCCGAAATATGCCTGAAAGCGTGTAATACCAAGGATTTTAATGGTATTTTATTAGAATTTAGATGTTTTAGTGTATTTTGAAATTTAATTTGAAAATCTGGAAGTGGTTCAAGGTTTAAATTTTATCGAAAATTTATTATTTTTGGTGCAGAACCGTAGGGGAGGACCGTATCCCTGAAATTTTTAGGTTGGAAATTATAAAAAGTTAGAAACACTTCCTCTAGTTATTTTCCAAACATTGAAAAATCCCAAAATTGTTGTAAATCCACTCATTTACAACATGAATTTGCAGCACGGCCTCGTCATCTACTGGTGACGGCGATGAACTGTGGCCGGGCGGGGGAGGTGGAGGAGGCGGAGGCGCCGGAACGGCAGATGGAGATGTCTCTGAAGATGAAGACGATGAAAGTGTTCCTTCGCACGATGGATATCATGAGTTGAAGGTCGGTTTTTTTCAAATATATTTAGTTTACAGTTCTAAATCGCCAAAATTAGCCTTCAAAGCTATTCTAGCAAGCTGAGAAAATCTGAGACAAAATTAAAGAAATACGAATGAATGCCTTCATTTTATTTATTTATTTATTTATCATGCGCGTGGAGCGCCGTTGGCAAGCAACGTATAAGAATCAGTATAGGAATCACAGAATGGAGAAGGTGCACATATTGTAGAAATTGTAAAATGAAATGAAAGATCACAGAAGTGGTGGATGGATATGGGGAAGGGGCGTAGAGGACGAGATAAAACGAAAAAAAAGACATGGGGCAGGATGAAGGGGAGGAGAGTATGGGTAGATAAGATGGGAGACCGGACAGGGACCCTTTAGAGGACAATCCCAACAGCTGAGTTGTACTACCCCGGTGAGGCCTCCAACGTCTGAGTGTGATAGGGAACTGTTGGGATAAAAGGGGCCTGAACTGGACGACCAAACTTATATAAGTGGGGAGTGGTGGAGGGAGAGGGTGGTGGAAGGGGAAAAAAATGGGTGGATGATTGGGTAGAAAGTGAGATAATAGTCTTCGGGGTGCCGGTACACCGCCAATCAAACAGGCGAAAAACGGCAATGTGCCGGGAGGGGCAAAAGCGTCGATAGGAGCGGAACGTAGCGGGCGCCAAGAAGTTTAAGCTCTTATAACTTTTTCAAACCGACTTAATAAGGAAAACCCAATATCAATTATTGCAGAGTAGAATTTTACGGTTCGAATGATACCAAATACAGCCGGTTGGCCCTCCGAAATACCACTTTTCACAAAATCGCCAACCAAAACCGCCTTCGTTAGCATACTTTCTAAATTCAGTTTTGTTAGTTCTTAGTATCATTAGAATCGCCATGTTCACTTCTACAAGACTGGAATTCGCGTTTTTTAAGATCGGCCTTATCTTTCAAGATATAAGCCTCCAAAGTTTTAGCCCCATACATTTTTGAGTCGATAGGAGCGCCGCGTTGCCTAGCCCTTAGACCGCCGCGATTTCGGGGCGTGGGTAGGAGCTTGGCAATGTTGGCGGTTCGTGGCGGAAGGAATTGACGTCGAAGAACTTGGGACGGGGTAGAAGATCTAAAAAAGAAAGCCGGCGAAGCGGCTGTAGATTATAGGAGTGGGGCGGGGGAGGGGGAAAGGGCGGGGGCTAGAGGTTGGGTTGAATTTAGGCATTAAGTTTTAGCATAGTAAAGAGGTCGAGCCTAGAAATGCGATTGCGGAAAGACTTCGGATTACACTTAGCTATTATGCCGGGAGGAAGTAGGTTGAACCAGCGTGAATAAAGAAATTATTAAAGAAATACGAATGAATGCCTTCACGCTATGGGATACAACAAACACCCCTGCCCCCTGTTATCCTCTTGTTTATCGTGGACTTGAAATGCCCTCGAATCACTTGGCAACAACAACATGCATGAACCAAGCTCAATTTTCAGGACTCTGTACGCGAGTGTCTCGAAAAGGAGCCGAGCGAGCGGAATTCTGAAGACGTCGCCGTGCTCTTGGACTTTATGCAGCACATGAGCGCTTTTGCCTCGTTGCCCGTTTCGATTAAGCGACAACTATGTTTAAAGGCGAGTTGGATTTTCTTACTTTACGATGCCAATTTTTCCCCAGTATTTGGGAGTATTGAGGCGTTAAAGGTTTTTTCTATAAGTAGTTTCTATAAAATAAAGTTATTCTTTTGTTTCTAGATGGTCTTCGCCGTCGTACCCGACGCGGGCACCGTCGTCATGCAGAACAACGAAAAGATCGATGCATGGTGAGAATTTGTCATTTTCTGGGAAAAACCCGAATTTTCAGGGCCGTAATCGTGAACGGATGCGTGGAAGTGGTCAAGCCCTCCGGGGAACGCGTCGAGTTCAAGCTGGGCGACTCGTTTGGCTGTGAGGCCGTGAATTCGGTATATCCTGACCACAAATAGGGTAATGTATCTTTATTTTCCAGGTGCAATATCACACTGGCGATATGCGTACGATGGTCGACGATTGCGAGTTCGTGCTGGTTGAGCATCGCGATTTCTGTTCGATTATGAGCACGATCGGTGGGTGCCGGTGGAGAATTTAGGGCTCTCTCTCTCTCTCTCTCTCTCTCTCTCTCTTCAGATAAAATCCTTTCCAGGCGAACATATCGAGCGTGGCCGTGACGAAGCGACCGGTGAGGTCGTCTCTGAAATTGAGAGGCGAGCCATCGGCGCCCAAGTCGGACTCGTCCTCATCAAGGCTAAAGTGAGGCAGTTTACATTTTTTCTTTTTTTTTTAGTATTATTGCTATCACAGAATAATTTTTCCAGCCCGACAAGTTGGTCTCACACCTCGTCGAAGAACGCGATGGGCAAGTTGACGCCAATTATATCGACGACTTTCTGCTCACCTATCGGTACGTCTTACCTTGATTCGAAATTCGTTCATATGATAAAAATTATGAATGTATTGATAATGTAACAAAATGAAATACAAAATAGTAAACAAAAAATAGAGAAAAACCGCTGCCCCTTACAAAACTATTTTTCCAGGGTATTCATCCACGACCCGGTGATGATCTTCGAGAAACTGATGCATTGGTTTGCCGAACCACAGTACCGTGATCGTGTCGCTCGAATAGTGTTGTTATGGGTGAACAACCATTACAACGATTTCGAAACGAACCGCGAAATGGTCAAGCTGTTGGAGCGATTTGAGCAGGTAACCGGGGCTCCCACAACACTCTAATCCTGCCAACTTCAGGCGCTTGAACGAGATCAAATGTACGCGCAACAGACGCTACTCAATCTGGCATGCAGTGTGAAGGCTCGAGTGAGAAGTATCAAATATGCGAGGAGGGATAAGGTTCGGCGAAAAATGTTTGGCGCCAAAAGCGTTTTTCGTTGCAGGATGAGCCAATGCAATTCTCGGTGATCGGCGGCAAAGAAATGGGCGCCGGCATCTTTGTCTCGGACGTGCTACCGGATTCTGCGGCCGAAGAAGCCGGGCTGAAGCGGGCTGACGAAATTCTAGGTTTCAGCAACGAGAAATTTTCTTTAAAACTGTATTTTCAGAGGTCAATGACCAGACGCTAAAATTTGTCACGCTTCAACGGGCCATCGATTTGCTGAAGGGCAGTATAAAGCTGCAGCTCGTCGTGAAGAACAACATCAATGGCTTCAAGGTTTGTGTATATTTTTGGGTTCCATCAGAAATTTATCAAATTCCAGGAACTGATCCAAAAACACGACAAGGCCGACGCGAAGAAAAACCATTTCGGGCCGATGAACGGTCTGCCGCACGTCATCCCGGTGAAGGGTGTCGGCGCTCAGCCAAACAACAACACGCACAGCAAGGCCAAAATGAACGGTATCTTGTCGGCGTTCGGCAGCAAATGAATATTTTAGGGAACAAGGGATACATGGACAAGTTGTTTACGATGATTCGCTCGTCAAAAGACATTGATGCCGTTGATTCGGTTGGTCGTAAAGCTAAAGCTATATTTCGCTAAATGTTGTCCATTTTCAACTTTCTGATACGATCTTTTTACCAGTTTCTCAATCCGATTTCAGATAAACGAAGAACAATTCCTGAACCTACTAATCCGGGTAATTGGGCTATAGGGTCATAGCTAGAAATCTTGTCTGCTTCCCTTTTGTTTTCATTTGACCCCCTCCTCATTTCAAGGGCCCGATGATCCAAAGAACAATAATGACTATGGTTTACTTTAACCCCCCCCCAGCCTTCATGTTTTGGCTATAACTTTTTTGTTTTACATTATTGTAGGCTCAAATTAAAATTCTTAGCATAGTTTTCGACGCTCTATCGAATGGCATTGCAAAAATCCCGACAAAAAGCGAAAATACCGAAAACTTTGAGACCCTTCGGCTGTGGAGGGGGTAAAGTAAACTCTTACCAATAATAATTACCCATTCAAAGAATAATTTTCCAAATTTCAGGCCTCCGATACGACCACCGACATCGTGCGGGCCTCCAAATCCAACCCGGACCTGTTGAGCGCCATCTCCTCATTCTACGGCCCGCCCAAAACGGACAGCCCCGAGCATGTGTTGAAGATCTACAGGGCCGACCAAACATTCAAGTATCTCCCTGTCTTCAAGGAAACCACCGCACAAAACGTCGTGCAACTCGCGCTACAGGTCCGGTTTTGAGCCATTTGCCGCATCCACGCTATTACAGGAATTCAGCATGACCGCCGAGAGTGGGCTCGAATGGGCCCTGTGTGAGGTGACCGTATGCGAGAATATTTCAACTGAAAACACGGTAAAACGGATGGCATTATATTATAGCATTCACGCAGAGCGCCAAAAACCCGTTGGTCATCAAGCAGCGCAAACTGCCGCCACAACTCGAAAACCTGGCCGAACGGATCAGTTTGAATAGCCGGTATGAGCTTCTTTATTGGTTAATCGTTCTTTGTTTTAGGTATTACCTGAAGAACAACAACCGCAGCGAGCCGCTCGTGCCCGACGATTTGGCCTCGGATGTCATCAAAGAGGCCCATGCACATATTTTGTCGCTGAATGCACAGGTGGGAAAAGGGGTTAGGGTGCTTTCGTAATAACGGGGGGGAGTAAATTTTCGCCTATAAGACTAGGCATAGACTAGTAGCGATTTTGATGGTGTTTTTGCTAACATTTTCAGGTGAAAAACCGTCTAGAAAAGTTAGAAAAATGTCCAAGCTTGAGTTTTGGGCGATAAATTGCGTTGCGAATTCTTTATTCGTTTTATGGGATAAAAACATATATAAAGTTTTTCAGGTTCTGGCCGCTCAGCTGACCCTGCAAGACTTTTCGGTCTTTGCCTCGATCGAACCGACCGAATACGTCGACTCGTTGTTCAAGCTGGAGAGCCGGTGAGTTATTAGAAGAATGTTGGCTGTAAAACACGGGGTTTTTCCAGGTATGGCTGGCCTCGGCTCGACGAATTCGAAACGGTGTTTAACCGCGAAATGTGGTGGGTGGCGACCGAGGTTTGTCGTGAGAGGAGTACGCAGCGAAGGGCCAAGCTCGTCAAAAAGTTCATCAAGGTTGCACGGTTAGTTTTTTCACGCTATTTCTTATGCCCGAACGTTCGGGATTTCTATTTCCGCTGTTCCAGGCACTGTCGTGATCTGCGCAACTTCAATTCAATGTTCGCCATTGTCTCTGGGTTGGACAAACCGGCGGTTCGTCGCCTACATAATACCTGGGAACGCGTCGGCGGGTAAGCACTAATTTTGAAGCTATCCATCTATCCTGAATTCAGAAAATACTCGCGGTTCCTCGAAGAAATCCACTCGCTCATCGACCCGTCGCGTAACATGTCCAAATATCGGCAACATTTGGCCCTGGCCAGTCAGGAGCCGCCCGTCGTTCCCATCTTCCCCGTCATTAAAAAGGTAACGGTCCAATCCTCGTTTTTTTGGGGAGATTTGGACTAAGCCTGGAGTTTGTATTTACGAGTTTTAGGATCTCACCTTCCTCCACGAGGGCAACCCCACCTACACCGATAAACTGGTCAACTTCGACAAGCTGAGAATGATTGCACGTGAAGTTCGCAGGGTCAACAAGCTCAGTTCGGCACCTTACGAGATCGGCAGCATGGCGGAGAGGGTGAGCTACTTTTTCCGTTATTTTCGCGTTTAAATTTCTTGCCGGGGCTGAACTCCCGATGACGCCTCCCCAGTCGGCACCAACCATAAGTATCTTGATTCCCCGACGCGCTACAGGGCTGTAAAGTATACCAAAATACTCGCCATAGCAATACGAACATTTTGTTATACTGCATACGCCTGTAGATGAACAGCGAGCCGAGATACAAAAGTTGGGGTCGACTGAAGTCGTGCCCTTGCCGGATATCATTTATCAAAATCATGCTTCTAAAAGTAATTAATTCGATTTTAGAGCGGCGGCTCGGTGAACGACGCCCTTCTGTATATGAACAGCTTCGACAACGGCACCGGCACGGTAGCCACCATGCGAAAAGGGAATCGAGCCGGGCAACCGCGCAAGAAGGTCTACGAGCAGGCGCTCATGGTCCGCAAAGTGAAGGCCTATCTCTCCGGGCTCGACGTCATCGAAAATGAGCACGAGCTGGACGGGCTGTCCCTGGAGGCCGAGCCGGCACCTAACACCCAGAAATTCAGGTAGGGCTAGATCTGTCAAAATTCGAAGTTCTTTAGTATTTCGGGCGGAGCCATGTTTTCCATAAGCGAATTTGTCTAACTGTTTTTGTAATTACAGTGTTTCTCAGCGTATTTTGCTACTGGTTAGACGTGAAAACTTTACAAAACCTTTGAAAAGTGAAAACATATAGATTTTTAGCCGCCTTGGAATTCTTTACCAGCTGTTAAAGTTTTGAAATCTCGTTAAATTTTGCGAAAAAGACTGTTAAATTATTAGCTATGGCTTTATTATTCATACCTGGAAAGATAGGAAAAACAGTTGGATTCCCTGAAAAACTTAAAGAACAAAGTAGAAACTATCTAGCCTAGTCCTAAGTCCTTTCAAGCTTACGTATCGCCACTGTCCATAGTCCATTCACGTACAGCTTCAATTCGCACCCCCATGTCCTTTTCAGAAGAGCCCCATCCCCCACTCCATCATCCATCTCCTCTCATTCCACCGGCTCCGATCAGAAGCGAGTCCTCAACGGCGGTGGCACCAAATTCGGCATCGACTCGCCGCAAGCCGTCCAAAAGATGCTGGCCCTTGTCCAAAACTCGAGGTATCCCGTTGTGGGACCCCGGGAATGCTTATAAATGGGTTGCTATAGGGTCAAGTCGACATCAAGCCAGGCCAGCCCCGCTTCATCTTCCAGGTCGATCCCATCCAGGACCACAGTTTCAGCCAGGTAATCGATATCCCTCTCGTCGCGCCGTAATCCCTGTGTGGCCGTGTTGTTGATTTTGGCTTGGGCAAATCTGGGATGAATTCGCACTTTCGTGGCGGCATAAAGGCAAAAAAAATTGTCGAGATTTTCGATATTCTTTTAGGCATTTCTCGACGCCATCCTATCGAATCGCATCGAAAAATATCCTGCGAGTTTTCATGGCTGCTCCAAAACTTGCAATACAAAATAGTTAAAAAACAACAACAGTGACCTCTGAAAATGGGGGTTAAAATGCTAGTTTTCGATATTTTAATTATCTTTGGAGATTTTAAAGAAGTCATTCGAAAAAACTAAGTGTTTTTAATGCAGCCTAAAGCTAAAAGGATGTGAAATGAAATAGTTATGGCAAAACGAGAAAAAACCCTTTCAGTTCTTAGCTTAAATCGGCTTGAAAAATGACGAATCTTGCAGGTCATCGGCCGGTTCGGGGATGCTTCGTATGAGTCGAGGGTCATTGGCCGAAAATGGTGGTCTCCCGCAGCGGGCCGTTGATTTGAACCGCGAGACGAGTGCCGTTACTAATATCTACGGTAAGCACTGTGATAAAAAGCTTTTCATGAGAAACATCAGTATCGTAAAAGGGTTTTCCCAAAATCAAAACGGCTACTACAAAAAAGAGGGAAAATGCGTACAACCTTTCAGGCAACGACGTGCTGATCTGATTCATTCACTTCACTCATTCCGCGCGCTATATATTGTGGGTATAGAGCGAGAGAATAATGATACACTCACCAATTGCACCCTCCTACCCCCTTTCCCTTCTCTAACCCTTTAAAACTGTGGCTGCCTAGATCTTACATGTATTATTTCCAAGCCGGTCTCGCCTAGTCGAAACTGTCGCACTTTTCCAGGAACAAAAACAAAAACAATAATTAGCGCACGGGGTGCCTTGCGGTGATGGATGACGTTATCATTTCCTGTTTCACCACGATTTTCCAAATAATTTCCAAGCATGTCGCCGTCATTTCAGAACCCATGCGCTCCCGTCCCCATTCTCTCCACTCGACCTCCAGCCTCGCATCGACGATGAGCAATTTTTTGCCGTTGTAAGTGAAAGAATTTCTAAATTTTTTTGGGTTTTTAGGTGATAATGGAGTTTTGCGATGTGACATTGGATAGAGTTTGAAATTTTGAACAAGTCCCACCTTTTCAAAAACGTTGGCGATTCGACCTTTCCGGAGAGCTCTAGTTCTTGCGCGTTATCGGGGGATCAAATTTTTGTATAACTCTAGAAATCCCCAGCAACTTCGTAGGAAGTATTTCAAAAGTGTTTGGCAAAACAAACTAAATTTCAACTGGAGAAACTCTAAATACTATCAAAAAGTCGAAATTTTGGTAAAAAAACGGATATTTTTGAGCGAAAAATCG